CTTTTTTTAAAAAGGTGGAATAAAAATAAAAATATGGATCAAGTTCTTATGGTTATTCTCAGTAGTGCAAATATGAAGCTTAATAGGGAAAACTGTATAAAATGTCAGATTCTTGCCTTGCAGCCATCACTGTCTGTTATACTCAGTTAAGGTATCTCCCAATGCACTTGATTATGTATTATCCCACAGAGTTACGTAAACAGAGAATGCTGATTTGTATCAGGTTAAGATCATGCAACCTTGTATTTAACACCCTTCATCTGCTATGTTTTACAATGCACATGAAAAGCTCAGCCTATAATCAGACTCATGGACAGTTCTTGATGTGCTGGAGATTAGTCAACAGAAATAGTAAAACACTTAATGCAGGAATGTATATTTTTGCAATCTCCAATGCAATCAACATTTGAACTTGCTTAATTTTCATTAAATTCAGCTGGTTCCTCTCAGAATCACTTCATTTAAGCAAAGTAATTTTTTTTTTTTTTTTGCAGAAACTAAGGATTTCCACTTAAGATCCATGAACATTTTGTGGACATATCTATGGATTTTTTTTTAAAAAAAAGTTTTCCTATTAATTTCTAGGGATTCTAAACCTGCAGTGGTAACAGCCAGATATGGCAAAGATCTGGGAATCACGTCAAAGGGTAAAAAAACAGTGTGCAGGCTGCCTTTCATTCACCAGATTTGTCCGGTTTGCATACATGGAAAGTCATTTTCCGTTTAAACAGATATCTCACAATCTCTTTAAGTTTCTAAATGAACAGTCAGTCTAAATAAGTCAAAGTCTCCAAACCAAATCAATACTTTTAATATTAGATGGCCCATTAGACTAGCATTTGTGAAAATACACATCACCTGGGGAAACCCATATACCAACATGTGGTGGTGCCTCTTATACTGGGACATAGGTGCTTTAGTTCTGGTTTTCAACTGAGCATTTTACTTACTTTCCACAAGTGCCTCTCTTTATAGGCATCTTGAATTTGCTCGTACCAGTATCAAAATCACTTTTACACTACTTGTGTGGTAATTTAGTCACTAGTGTACTTATCTCTCTCACTTTATAAATTGCTTTACGATGGAAACTAGTTTACTCATCTCTATGCCACTGCAGCATCAAGCAATGTTTTCTTGTGATTGTTTCAAAAATTCATATTGCAGAAATCTACACCTCATAAATTCAAATACTTCCCATTATTATTTCAGTTTTATTCCACAAGACTTCATATCTTGGTAACCTTTAACCCAGTGGAGGCCTTTTTATCATGTAAGAAGCTCTGGACAATTTCCAGAGATATTTTTGCCATCACAACTGGCTGGGGAGTGGGGACAGTGATGCTACTAACTTGGGGTGCACACAGGCAAGGGCTGCTGCTAAACATACACTCTGATACAGCACAGTCCCCACAACCAAGTACCATTGGGCACAAAATATCGCAAGTACTGGGAAACTCAAATTTAGCCTAGCCAAAGGAATAGTCATTGCACAATTTTACCATGTGTCTACTAAGATTTGTTTGTTATTTAAGTGAGAATAGCGGGTACCTCAGTAACTTGTGACGATGACATAATTAGCTTCCTGAGAATTTTAATCACTTCTTCAATGTGTGATTACGTTGCTCCTCAGAACAAATGCCACTTTGGTATATAATTTCTTTTAGCTTCTCAAACACGTATTTCAGACTGCACCCTTTAACTGACCACGTATAGATACAGAGACATATCTACAGTTGCATACACACAATATACACATACACACAGGTAGGAACAGACATTGTGGTGCAGCACATTAAATCACCACTTTTTAAAGATGCCTGAATATCATTTCAGAGTGCCCATTTGAGTCCAGGCTCCTCTGCTTCCAATCTAGCTTCCTGTTAATGCACCTGGGGAAGTAGCAGATGATGGCCAAGTATTAAGACCCCTGACAATCACTTGGGAGAACTGGACAGAGTTTTGGGGCACAGACATTGGCTGTTGTGGGCATCTGGGGAGTGAACCACTGGATGGAAGATTTCTCTATTTCTGTCTCTCCTTCTGTCACTCTGCCTTTCAAATAAGTAAATAAATCTTTAAAGAAAAGACAAAACCACTCCAATCAGTGGACACATAGGGAAAATGCTAAATATTTAATCCAATTGATTACATTTTTACTTTTTTTATACAACAAATTTGCACTTAGTATGGAGACAGAATTCCTAAGTTTTTATCAAATAATATATAAAACATGAGCAAATTTATCTTTAATTTACGATATTATCAAATCATGTTCTCAATTATAGATCTCATTTGTCTTTGTAGCCCTCCAATGTAAGATTCCTTGGAAACTATGTTTTTTATAAAATGCATTATGTTTTTAGTCATAGAATTTAGCTAGCTAGCTTTCTTCCTTTTCTTTTTTTCATCCTCCCTACTTCCCATCTTTCTTTTAAGTAATTGCAATTTAAGAATTCATTTCTATTTTCAGAAAATAAAAGGTATTTTTAATGTTTTGAAGTATCAAATCTGTTAATAACTGATGTATGTGTTGGGGATGGGAGGAGGCAGGCTTTGTCTTATCACCCTTGTGAATGCTGGCATCTATTGAGCTAACCTGGGTTGGTAAGAAGACACATTCCTAGATTGTATCACATGCCCACCATATGAAGTCAAAAGGTCACCCCCTTATTTAATCTAGACCATATGGTCCACATATAAGCTTAATTGTTTTCTTGTTTTCAGCCGTCCTAAATGACAACCATCGGCAAAGTAAAACATCTTTTTGGCACGCTTGGGAAACTCCTGGAAATTTTTCTTTAAAATCTGTTCTTCAGATTATTCAAGAAAACAATTGGTCATATGAAAGATAAATATGAAATACTTCAAGGCCATGAATATAAACTTTGACAGACTCTAACGGAACATACTGGGGGAGGACATAGTAAAATATACTAATTCGTTATTTTATTAGTCTCATGACCTATTTATACTCAGGGATGTATCTAAGTATTACAGGTTAGCCCCTCGCATTACATTTGACCGAAATAACTTTCCAAGGTAACTTGGTACTCACTACAATCGTCCTTATTTTAGCCTATCAGCATAGAAGGTCCCTCTGCCACAGCAGATTTAACAATGCAGAGAAGATGAAAATATCAACTCTACTTTTTCCCTACCACTGTTATTACATTTCTGAGTGATCTAAATTTATTCATCTTAAAGACTAACAATCATACATCTTCCTACATAGAACTATTCTTATTGGTTCACATAGGCTGGCAGAGAGGGTAAGGGGAGGAAGCCACACACAAGCTACCATACACTCACATCCCACACTGGCAGCGAGTTCCATCAAAACTGCTTAAAGTTTTCATAAGCCGCATATGAAGAAATAATCACAATGCTCTCTTTCATGACTTCTTCTGTTAGCAGTGAAGAAAGTAAAAGGTGATACAGGCTTACCTCAAGACAATTACATGGCTCTGAGGAATTTATTGAGGAATGACTAAGCTTTTCCAAAATAGAATCTTAAACGTAAAATGTGTTAGTTAAAATACTGTCTTAATAAGATATAATAAAGCCTAGGCTTCTAACAATATGTACGTTAAAAGATCAACTTATTACTTTAAAATGGGAATAGTCAGGAAGGGGGAACAGTTCCTATATCAAACTTCAATTAAAAACAAACAAAAATCTGAAGTTGGTTCATTTTTATGTCACTTTCTCTGTAGCAGAAGCAAATAAACAGTATTAAGATGCTGGATCAGAAATTACAAACTGTTCCTGTAATTGTAGTTTCATCACCAAAATGGGAAATCTAAAAATCTTGACCAACTAGCAAATCTGATTTGTCATTTCAAAAGTTGAGAGAAAACATTCATCTTAAAAATTTAACATTTAGCAATTTCCAAGTCATAGACTAATTCATTTAAAATCATCCCTACTTCATAATGTCACATGCTATGATTTCAATGAATCTTTAAAATGACCAGAATATAACTAGAGTTAACCAAAAATATGCAATCATCGCCTCAACTCCTATTAACAAGCAATTCTACAGCACAGTGCAAAATGCTTGTCCACAGATTCTTGCCCAGTCTTTGGCTTCTCCTGCACTCTGTCTGCAGAGTGCTCGCATTTCACACTGTCTTACCCTCCCAGGATGCCAGCAGCTTTGAACTGTCTGAAAAGCCTTCCCTACTCATCTTTCTTTAGGACTCATTTCAAGACACACTTCCTTTGTTCGGTATTCTTGACTATTGCAATCATCAATTTCCCCATCTCTAGGTGTTCCCGGAGTGCTCTGTACATCCATGATAGCATTTATGAAACTATCACAATAACTTGTTAACACACCCACTTCCCCCACCCACACACACATACAAAAACCTTCATCTGTGAACTGTCAGCACTAGATGCTTCATATTTATATAATTATAAAAATTTGAGGGTATTCTTAGAATTCATCTGCTGAAAAAGAGTTTAATGTGAGAACTGAGGGAAACCATTGTAGTGTCCAAATTCAAAGACTATCTTATCTCTCATTATCTAACCATTTACTAGACATTTAACCACTTTTTAACCTTTACAAATTTATTTTCATGTTATTTGAGAGGCAGACAGAGATAGACATTGAGAGTCTCCATCTACTGTTTACTCCTCCAATGTCCAGCCAGGTCCATGCCAGGCTGAAGTCAGAAGCCAGATATTCAATCCGGGTATCCCAAGTGGGTGGCAGAAAACCAATCATCCGAGCCATCATCACTGCCTTCCAGGTTGTGCATTAGCAGGAAGCTGGAATCAAGAGAGCCAGGATTGGAATCCTGGCACTTTGACATAGGATGTAAAAGTGATGTCTTAACCACTGTGCCAAATACTTGCCCCCAACATCATTTCTAAGATCTAAAGACAAATGGCACTAACATTGCATAAAACTAAAAAATTTAAAAACTAAAGTATGTGGAATTTTCAAGGAAAAAAAAAAAAAAACATGTCCTTAAAAAGAATGATTCTGTATGTATCAAACACTCCATTTAGGCATTTAATTAAGCCATTTGTTGCTTCAAATGTGTTACCGTGAACATTTTAATATACACTCCACAGCACCTGTAAATTTTACCTATAAATTGTGAACCCACATTTAGATATTTTTCTGCCACCAATTATTACATGAATTTTTGACAAAATGATTTTTGAATGTATATTTTATAATTATCAGAAATATTCATTATACCCTTTGTTGTAAATGTCACAAAAGGTATCAATAGTTGGCCACTTTTTTTCTTTTGATGAGGTAGTTCCAGGTTTGTCCCATTTTTTATATATGTCAGATATTAGCAGGTTCCATTCATTACTAAACACTTGCACACCATTCTGGCTTACTTCTTTACACAATGTTTGTGTTTAAAACTCGTCCAAGTGTTTACCAAGCAATTTGGTAGAAAGTCGAATTCACAACCTGACAGGGGCTGCAGCAACTGGGAACAGATGTTCCTGATTCAGACAAGGACTCTTCATATAAAGTTGTCTGCAGAAGGCGTTTTCCTTTGACCAATTATTATACAATAGATGAGTTTGGCAAAGTCATAATATGTAATTAAAGGATGTAAGTCTCCGGGCCACTGACCGATAAGCTAAATGAATACCATGTGATTTATTACTTCTTACAGGTTTATTAAATTCTCCATGAAAATACTGCATTATACTCAATGACACTGTGAACTTGTGAGTATACACAGATGAACCTAACTTACTTTGGGGGAGCTGTCAGTTATAAAATCAGACTGTAGCAGCTCAGAACATGGAATACAATGCTGAAAGGAGCCTCTGAAGTCTCCTATCTAATCTATATGTTTTAGATAGCACTGCAGAGATTCTACATCATTTTCTGGGTAAGTTTTCCAAGCGGCTCACAGTGGCTTTAATTAAAGTGAAAATCTGATGGACCCAATAAATCTTAATATAACAGAAATGTGATGTAATATGAATCTCAAAAAAGTCTGAAGGGGCCAGCACCGTGGCACAGTGGGTAAAGCTGCTGCCTGCAGTGACAGTCCCAGCTGTTCCACTTCTGACCCAGTTCTCTGCTCTCTGCTGTCACCTGAGAAAGCAGCAGAAGACGGCCCAAGTCTTTGGGCCCCTGCATGTGTGTGGGAGACCCTGAAAAAGCTGGCTCCTGGCTTCAGATCAGCCCAGCTATGGCCATTATGGCCACTGTGGCCACTTGGAGAATGAACCAACAGATGTAAGACTTCTTTCTCCCTCTCTCTTGGTCTCTCTGTAACTATGCCTTTCAAATAAATAAATAAATCTTTAAAAAAGAAAGGTTTGAAAGATTTCCCTATCGACCAGACTCAATATTATACTTTAAAACATTCACCATGCGAAATTTGTAATTTTAATACCACCTATAGAACAAAACACTAGCAGTGCTTTAAAGTGATCCGGGCGCCAGAATCACTCTGGTTTAATAAAGCCCAAAGTGATTAAAAATCTGAATTAACTTTCCTACCAGCATGTGGCAGAATCAAAAAAACTGCTGAATTTTCGGCTGCAATCCAGGGTACTTTTTTTACTCAAGCTGGCCACACTCCTTCCAGGCTAAACATCTGTAACTATGACTTTCAATCTGGTTGCTGTAATCACACTTCTTTCTTTCTTTCCTTAGACTGAAGGAAAAACCAAAAAATGTTCCAGAAAAATACACTGGCATTTAAAATTTACACTAAAAATGTCTTTTCCTTATTGACTTTTCACAAATTCCCAACATTATTAAAGCAATCAAACTACACAGCATTTGGTGTCCTAGGCCTCTGTCCTTTTCTGATGATGAAAATTGGAAATTAATTGGAGTTAAGAAATATTTTTATTGTGTAAAGTATAAATACAAGTAATTTTTTAAAAACTTTATTTTAACACCTAATACAATTCGAATTTAAGGATTACTTGCACAAAAAAATAAACACATTTGGTATAAAAATGTATCACTTTAACACCCTTTCCCCTCCCACCCCCACCCCCTCCCTCATGAACTGCACTCTATCTGGATGCAGAAACATATAAAGACTAATGGCACAAATTTGTTTTTATCTACAGGAGTTTCTGTTTATGTACCCAGGTACTCTAGAGGACACCAGCCCACTTTATCACATGAACCACTTCCTTCAGCCCGCTGAATTAGTTTCACAAAGAAACAAAGCTTATTATAAAGGCATTTTAAAAACCATTATCTTAAATTCTTTTTAGAAGGACTGACTTTTTTTTTTGCAACCATTTATATACAATGTTACATAACAGCTCTGGAGTACAGTACATGCAGCAGAATATACCTGTTGAATATAAAATACTTTTCTTAAAATCTTCATTGCTGGAATTCTCTGAAGTCTAAATTATAGAATGCCCATTACTTTGAGAAAATGGTTGAGGAGTACAAATGTCTGCATATGTTGGCCACTGAAATAATCCAAGGCTAACTGGAATAATATTCATAGCACACCAGGAGTGCATAAATAATTTACTTACATTATTAAAATACAACCCATAAAATTCAAGTTCAAGATCTTACAGGATTGTCTATATAAATCCTTTAAGTGGTTGCCTGGAAATGTGTTGTTTCTTCTTTCTCTTTTCTTCTGTTTAGAGTCCAATATAAAATGTTTACTTGCAGTTTTTTTCTTCCTCAAACAAAACGACCACCTTTATTTGTGCCTGCTGCCTCTTCTCTTCATTGCAGCAGTGCACTGTGGACAGTACCACTTCCCTTTTGGTGCTTCCGTCAGTCCAACACATCCATAATGGAACCATTCTATGGGACACTGGAAAGCAAAATCGCAAACAAAATAGTTTTTAGTACTTCCAAAGAATGGAAAGTACATTAAAATAAGCCCAGGAGACTAAGTACTCTATTTAGTAAGAATTAGATATGAAATGAGAATTTTTTTGATCTAGGAGATGATTTAGAGCTCATTTAGTCCAACTTTTGATAAGCTTCACAGATCAGGAAAGGGAGACAGAAAAATTATGTGTCAATGACAACTCAGAAATTCTTACGATCCATTTCTACAATTCCAAATAATGAACTTTAATTTTAAAGAAAAAAAGATGTGAGATCAGTCTTTCAGCAGAAGATACATATACTTTAAAGATGCTATTTAATATTCAGCCTATTTGCCCCTGCATAGAGTGGACTAAGTGAGTTCTAACTGAAGACATAAAAGGGTTTCCTTTCTGGGTGTCCCTATTCCCAGAGATGTGCAGGAAATGCATTCCTTCTGAAACATATTAAACAGTTCTACCCTCTTCCACGGAAGGACTTGGCACTCAGAAGAGCACACCAGGAAATGAGCAGAATCAGAGAGAGGATGCTGCTGCTATTGACAGAAATCTCATTCATCATTCTCACTATCCACCCCAGCAGGGAGCTGACAGCAACGTTCCTGAAATGGCCAGATGACACTGTTTTGCGATACCACAAACAGCGCACAAGTGATTCTGGCCAGGGTGGTGGAAGGAGGGTCTGTCCCCATCTACGTGAACATGCTGCTGAGACCGTCAGGTCAGGGGAATCACAACTGTTATCGCACCAAGCCAACCTCCATCCATCTGCAGACTGCTTTCTTTATAAAAGTGAAACTCCTGTTAATCTTAGGATTCTGGAATTACTGATTAGCAGTTCTACAGAACTCAGGGTCCCCTTACCCATCTGGACTGGACCAGGGACTAAAAGAGGGATTAAAATGAGGCTGAGCTGTATGAAAACAGGGAGCGAGTCAAAATTACTAGACAAAAATATTCTCACCATTTAATTAAAAAATATATCTAACTATAACTAAGCTTCCAAAATAAGTAAATGAAAAGTCCTTCCTTTCAGCACTTGTCTGTTTTTCATATCAGAGGAGACTCAGATCAGCTGACACCTACAGAGGACAGCGGAACACACTACACGAACGGGAAGCAAACAATCTCCACCAGGAGACCCTCCCTTCTCCCACCCTGTCTCGGCATCAAGCTTCCTAGATGCACACACTGTTTCCAAGTTCCATTTCCACAACGTGATAAATGAACTGATTCTGGTAAACACAGTACTCCTCAGCAAAGGAGGAGGGTGCCTGTCATTCCCCTGCAACCTAACACTTTTCAGAAATGTAATCTGCACCTAACACTACAAAATGAGCTTTAAAACTCAACACAGGGAACACACTACAGGACACTACCCTGTTCTGGATAGGAGTACTCTAGCATTATAATTAACCAACTGCAAACCTCTTTTCTTTGACCAAAGGCACAGTAAACAAGAAAAACACTCATGTAATAGCAACCTGTGATTTTTTTCATCCCCCCCCCCAAAAAAAATTTAATACTTACATCTTGGTTATCACATCCCACCATCTCACCATAAGAGACCTAGTTAAAAGAAAATTAAAGAGTTTATTATGACCTTGTAACAAGCATCTAAATCCAAATTAATTGCCTATGATTTTGTTAGAAAATAGAGGGAACTATATCAAACACACAATTACATCCAGAATCAGGGTATACAGTTCTTTTCTAAAAGATGTTTTTGTGTTGGAAGGGGTGACAGGCAACAGCTCTTTGAATGTCAGAAAGAACTTACTACGTAAAACACCTGGACATAGTCACCTCTGTAGATGGTTCTTATTGTAAAAATGTAAGTTCTTTTCCGGGTTATGCACCTACAGAAGGTTTTTACTTCTTCTGGGGTCCTACCAGCATATTTGCATTTATGCAGTCCACAGTCCACTTGACTGAAATTTGTAGACCTGTTCTCTACTAACTGTCCTTCTCATTTTCCTTTCTGCTGTTCATCACCAGCATTTTTAGCACCACTTCCTAAATCTTGAATTCACGTTAGTTCTCCATGGACTGCATAATTTTCAGACAGGGTTCAGCAGATGGCACACTTTCTGACTCGCAGCACGAGTGAGAATATCTTTACCCGTCCTACGCATGGGAACAACTTCTCTGCATACCAAGTTTTGGGTGCTCTCAATTTTTCCCTAAAAGTCCTAGACATATTCTATCACCTTTTAGCTTTCTACTGGTACAAAAGACAAACCAGGAGTCATTTTGATTTTGTTCTTTTGTAGGTAACGTACTTTTATTGCTAGGGTATTTACAAGATACTCTTTCCTTAATTATAGATACTAACAAAAAGGTTTGTCAGGTAATAGTGGAAGAGCTAGAAAACTTATTTTTTTTTTTTTTTTAGTGGCTGGTGCTGTGGTGTAGTAGTTTTAGCCTCTCTAGTCGTTACAGCCATTTGGAGAGTGAATCAGTGGATGAAAGACCATTTTTTTTTTAGCTACTCACATTATAAGACATAATAAATTGTCATTAGATTTAAAGTTTAAATGTGAATAAACTGAGCCTATCAAGAACTAGACAAAACTATACAAACAAAAGAAAATGAAAAAAATGTATCAGAGGACAAGGTAACAGGAGAGGAAGGCTTTCTAAACATCTCATTAATGGGTGACTTCTAAAGAAAAAGAATGATAGTCATAATTAAATAAAACTGAAATATTAAAATTAAAAAACAAAACAAAAGCAAAATATTAATAAATTATCTAATAAAAACAATAGAAAAATAAGTCAACACCATTAGCAATCAACTCATTAAAAATGTCAACAGAAGTATAATCTTAATACTTCGGCCGGCGCCGCGGCTCAATAGGCTAACCCTCTGCCTTGCGGCGCAGGCACCCCGGGTTCTAGTCCCGGTCGGGGCGCCGGATTCTGTCCCGGTTGCCCCTCTTCCAGGCCAGCCCTCTGCTATGGCCCGGGAGTGCAGTGGAGGATGGCCCAAGTGCTTGGGCCCTGCACCCCATGGGAGACCAGGAGGAAGCACCTGGCTCCTGCCTTCAGATCAGCACGGTGTGCTGGCTGCAGCGGCCATTGGAGAGTGAAACAACGACAAAAAGGAAGACCTTTCTCTCTGTCTCTCTCACTGTCCACTCTGCCTGTCAAAAATTTAAAATAAATAAATAAATAAAAAATACTAACATAAATTATGTGACATAAATGTATGAGACAAATAAGTTTTTAAGAGAATATCTAAATAGTGTTGCAAAGAGTTTAGAAAATAGGCATGCTGATTAGTTTCCAGTAATAAATTACTAGAATATATTTTGTCCGTATTAGATATTTATAACTCAATTTTATTTCTAATGGATTATCCTTGAATTCAATTGTATAAAATGAATTACATTTAAAAATAAAAATGTCTATCATAATGTTATTTACAAATTCAAAAACAAATCAAAATCACTAAAATGATCTATAGCTAGATATTGCTTCAATAAATTACAGTACATGATATAAGCGATAATCATGAGATTTCAAAAATGACCTTAAAGAAAAATTTTGTTTGATTACCTGATTTAGTTAAAAAAGCCAGGTACTAAAAAAGTCCTCATTGTGGTTCCTACTGTTAAACTCACTATACGACATGTGTGTATGTGTACGTATGTGTTATAGAAGGAATGTTTGTGTCCCCCCAAAATTCATTTGAAGCCCTAAATCCCAATATGTATTTGCAGACAATACCTGTGAAGAGGTGGTGAAGGTCATAAGGTGGGGTTCTAATCTGATAGGGAAGGTGCCCTATCAAAAGACACTAGAGCTCACTCCCTCTTTCTGCAATGAGTCCACAGTGGAAGGCCACTGTCTGCAGACTAGGACGGGAGTCCTCACCAGGAACCAAATGAGCTGGCACCTTTGACCTTGGACTTTCCAGTCACCAGCTAATACATATAACTGGTGTCTGGTAGTGGTACACCGAAATATTTAATTTCAGGTTATATCTAAGGACTATCCTCTTATTTTTAGCAAACTTCTGACTTTTATAAGGGGGATAAAAATATATGAATTAAAGCAAGGGTAACTTTTAACTAGAGTAAAAAGAGTGCTTAAAAAAATGAAACACGTCCAGGGCTGGTGCTGTGGCACATCTGCTATGCCAGCGCCCCATACTGGCCCCAGTTTGTGTCCTGGCAGCTTCACTTCTGACCCAGCTCCCTGCTAACGGCCTGAGAAAAGCATGGAAGATGGCCCAAGTGTTTGGGCCCCTGTCACCCATTTGAGAGACTTAGATGAAGCTTCTGGATCCTGGCTCAGTCTTGCCCAGCTCTGGCCATTACAACCATCTGGGGAGTGAACCAGCAGATGAAAGTTTGACCTCTCTCTCTCCCCCTCTCTGTTACTCCATCAAATAAGGAAATAAATCTTAAAAAATAAAAAAAGAGACACATCTTTCTAATTCATTTAGATTATGCTTCCATAGACACGGATCAGACTCTTACCTGATTACAAATGCAGTATCGAGGTTCATTTGGGTCATAAGTCCAATCAACCTGACTGTTTGAATCAGACTCTGGCACTACCGTTGTTTGTTGAGAGATTTCTTGTACAACAGTTGATGACGAAGAACACGATGACAAGGAAGAAGAGGAGGAAGACGAGGAGGACTGCTGGCTTGAAGACTTGTTGTTGTTCCTGAAAAAGTATTACCAGTCTTATTTGCCCATCATCATTATCATCATCATCATCATCATCATCATCATCAGTTACCTGAGAATAACTCCTAAATAAGTGGTATCAAAAGAAATGGCATCAATGTATGAATGTATGTCTAACATTAAGCTAAAGTCATCTGATTTAAAAGCACACTTACTTAGAGCAACAAAAAATAACACTTTTGTAAACTATATTTATTTATTTATTTTTGACAGGCAGAGTGCACAGTGAGAGAGAGAGAGAGAGAGAGAGAGAGAGAAAGGTCTTCCTTTTCTATTGGTTCACCCCCCACAATGGCTGCTGCAGTCGGTGCGCTGCGGCCGGCACACAGCGCTGATCCGAAGCCAGGAGCCAGGTGCCTCTCCTGGTCTCCCATGCGGGTGCAGGGTCCAAGGACTTGGGTCATCCTCCACTGCAGAGAGCTGGACTGGAAGAGGAGCAACCAGGACAGAATCCGGCGCCCCAACCAGGAATAGAACTCGAGGTGCTGGCGCTGCAGGCGGAAAATTAGCCTAGTGAGCCAGGGCACCGGCCACTTTTTTTTTTTTTTTTTTGACAGGCAGAGTTAGACTGTGAGAGAGAGAGACAGAGAGAAAGGCTTTCCTTTTCCATTGGTTCACCCCCCAAATGGCCTCTGCGCCAATCCGAAGCCAGGAGCCAGGTGCTTCCTCCTGGTCTCCCATGTGGGTGCAGGGCCCAAGCACATGGGCCATCCTCCACTGCCTTCCCGGGCCAAAGCAGAGAGCTGGACTAGAAGAGGAGCAACCGGGACAGAATATGGCACCCCAACTGGGTCTAGAACTCGGGGTGCTGGCGCCGCAGGCAGAGGATTAGCCAAGTGAGCTGTGGCACCGGCCCCAAAAAATAACTTTTATAATGGTTTAGTTTTACTCAGAATTTTTTTTTTTTTTTGGGAAAAAAAAGTACTCCAAAAAATCCTTTTAAAAAGAAATCAAAGATTTTAAAATAATTAAAATCAAAGTTACCACTTACTGTTGACTTATATTATAGGCAGTACTTTTAAGAATTAATATTAGTTATGGCTACCTTACAGATATTCTCTGTATTTTTAAGCAGACTGAATATGATTCATCAAAACATAAAGAATACAAATACACAAAAGTAGTAAATGAAAACTATGACTATCAAGCAACATGTGAATACTTACTGTGGGTAGGACAGGGAACCAAGAGTGTTAAATTCCAAAACTGTTTGGCATCAAAATAAACACATCTTTTAATACCATTTTTCCATGAAGTCTGTGAAGTACCCTCATATGAGGAAGCCCAGCAGGGATGCCAAGTGGCCTGAGCACCCAGCAAAGGTACAGCAGGTGCAGTCACGTGCACACTTACTTGCTCTTCCGACCACTGCGCGAGTCGGCGGCTGATGAGCTGGCATTCTGTGTTAATGTTGTCATGAGTGCTGACGACGATGAATAGCCAGCTGTCTCCCTGGGCATTGAAAATTCTTTTCCCAGCTGAAAGTCATTATTCTTAAAAGCTTCATAACTGGCCTTTAAACTTGACGTTCTTCGTCCCTCTTTCATCTTCAATAGACATGCATTGATAGCATTAATATTATGTAAATGCATGGACTTTCAAGCTTTATAAGGTTCACTATCATTTTGGTTAATTCAGTATTTATTTTGCTTAAATTATTTTTTTCGGTATTGGAATTTAAGCTATTTTATGGCAAGATTAAAATTAGTTTTTACACAGGTAGTAATTACCACATGGGTAACTTCTTAATTTGGAATTGAGATAAATTGTTCTGAGTAAACAGGACAACCTGTACCACTGCTAAAGAGAAAGCCTTGAACTGACAGAAAGAGCAAAGAATGACCCCCGCACGTACTGTGACTACAGTCAAGACATGGGCAACAGGAGTGATTACCAGATGAAGGGTCTGCATGATACATCTGTTCTGTACCATTCATTATCAACCAGGGGACTCCTACCTACTAGTCATTAAATAAAATGTCAGGTATCAATACAACGTTAAAATGAAATTATACAATGTCAGAAAACTACTGCTCATATCTAGTTCTTTCTACAAGGATCTGCCAATGATTGAAACAAACATAACATTTTATCTCTAAAACCTTTTATTTCTTACCTGAGCTGTAGCTTGCACTGCTTGTGCAGCTGCCATAGTAATTGCCCCCGCACCAGTTCCTGAGGATAATGAGCCGATGTTATAGGATGCCAGAGGCTGGGAGGAATTCACATTGAAAGCATTGTTGGAAGAGGCTGTGGAATTATTATTTCGACAACCTATGTAGAAATATAGAAAAAATGGTTGCAGACCATAACATATTAGTGAGTTTAAAATACATTATTTCCTAGCATAGATACAGTCATTAAACTTAAATTTTTGATGTACTATGAATTGAGTCAAATGAATAATGTATTATATTTTTCCTTCTTCTTTTTCCCAGGTAGGCAATACACAGGTAAACAAACTGTGGTTTTTGAAGCCTAAACGTTTTCATTTCCCTTCAGTCTATAACACACAAAAAAGCTCAATTAATCAAATAATCATCATTAAGGAAATAAACTTACCTAATGTGTTCTCCTTAGAGGCATCTGATGTAAGGGTGGATAGAAGAGCTTCAGATTTAAACTTCTTTTCAGGAATATGATCTGCTGTTGTATGGTGAGATGTTGGATTATATTTCCTTTCTGAACAAAAAATAAAGAATTCAATGTATAAATTTTAGAGAACTATGGACAAGGCTTAATATTTCCAACCAGTTACAAACCAGTGAAGTTATAACCTGAGTTCTTCATGAAATTCAGACCATCACATTTTCTCAGAAGAGAGGACAAGCAGAACTCTGTGTCACACGTAAGCACAGACATCTCAGACACTTTAAACACTTGCAGCAAAGGACTGAAGACAATCAATCTATGATGCCCCATGGCTTCACATAAAACACGAGGGGAATTCTGTTTTCAAAACATTATCTACTTTTGGAATAGTCTTCAATACCCTTTTTTCTATCAAACTGATTTGTCAAAAAAAAAAAGTATCATTACAGTCAGTCAACTGTCTAATCAGCCACCTGACAATTCCTTTAATCACTAACTCAGCGAGCACTTGAGATGTATTATATACCACACCTTGGGCTAAGCACCGAGAAGTCCAGGATGAAAAAGACACAAACTCCCACAAAATAGTTTACGGTCTGGCTCTGCTGTATCACTCCCTAGAGAGACTCAGACAGCTGGAGGCAGGCAGGGAGTATATGCTGCTGTTACTACCATACATTCTCCCTGCTATGAATTTCAGCATAAACAGTCGACCTGTTGCCAAACCAAACATGCTTTTCCCAAATGAAAAAGATACATCTGCCTGCAATTGAAAAGAAAAAAAATTCTTTCACAAAAATAAAAGGGAAAGGTATTTATTTCTCATTGAGTTATGCAGAGCTAATAACAGAGAATATCCAGGTGGTATAATGATTTTTTAATGGCACTTAAAACTTAACCGCACTCAACCAAACTTACTTTCCACTGGGGTATGTGAATGAGCGTGGTGATTGTTCACTGGCTGTGAAGGAGTATCTAATTCCAAAGATCCTAGAAAAAGAGGCACAGAGATACGCCAACATTAAATGTCACCACAGAAATCAACAAACTACAGGAAGTACACTCCCTGAGGCAGAAGACTGGCAAGCTCTGATGTCCATGCCCAGACCGAGTTAGTTAGACATGTCAGAGGGTCAGCTTTGCCAGTTCTACTCAGAGCTCTCCTCTCTAAACAATGAGAAATACATTTCTCCATATTCACCTTAAGCACAATATAGCTCATGGCATGCTAATATCTAATGTCGAATTAGGGAATTCAACAAAGTGAGTGCAAGAGAAATGGATGAATGGACATTATAAGCCCAGAACTGGCAAGATCTAAAAGACTCAGCCTACTTTTATTGTGTTGAAGAACTTTTAATGGGAGATCCTAAGTTCTAGGTGATAAGGTCATTGCTATATGGAAAAAAAAAAAACCTTGATCATTAAAATGACATATGATAGTAAAGACTTCCTAAAATAATTTAGGGATTTTGCTTGCAAAAAGTGAGAAATAGAATCTCTAACACCAGGCTTAAAATACTTGCAAAGACATTTTCTGGGTTTATTATTGATCCCTTGAGATGAAATTATGGCAGGGCACAGGGTGGAATGGTTTTTGTAACTTGGTCCAATTTAGTTTCATGTGTCTGTGTCCTTAGGATGCTTTATTAACCTTCCTGCAGTACTGAATAGGCATGAATCATCATATTCACAGCTATCATCAGTATTAAAAAAAAAATGAAAGCAGCTACAGAACACTTCATTTTGTCCCCAAATACTTATTAACCTCAGACAGGATTCCTCCAAGATAAAAGCACCACAAATAAATCAGATAATTATCTAAAGTGTTGGATCTACTTTTGCATTAAAAAATGTAACTAGCAAGAGGGATTTGTAACTGGCTTCTCTAGCTGACTAGTGAGTATATGAAGAGACACGTAGCCTAGCACTATAAAAAAACAAATACATAATCTTGCTATTGAAAATCATCAAGGAAAAAAACCTTATAAATGCTTTAATATAAATTCTAGAAGAAATTATTCATAATATTTATTTGGTTCAATTAGTACTTAATGGGTTCCTACCCTAGGCCTAGCATCATACTGTCTGCTTTTATGTACATTATCTATTTAGGTTGGAAGAAATGCTAAATCTGTTAAAGAAACAGAGCTCATACCTCCAAATTTGGCAAGTCTCCTGGTTTCCTGAGTTAAACCCAAGAAGTGACAGGGGAAAGTTTTTGCAGGAGATCAAGTTGAGCTTGCATAGAAATATTAAAATGGCTTCTTGTGAATAAGGGAATGTTTAGGGAAGACTTCTTTAAGAAAAAGAGGAAGTGTTGTAGAACTAAATCAAATCTTAGTACACCCAATTAAGGAAAAGCCTTAAGGCAGTTCTTAAGAAAAACTAATAACCTTCCTCAAAGCTTCAATGCATAAATAGGCAGAGGAAAGTCAATGCATTTAATAAGAGATGATTAATTTGTTTCTCAATGGTTACATTTTTTTTTAAATCTTTGTTATTACCACTTATCTTATTAGTATATGTGAACATTTAAGGATGAAATGAATTCTTTTCATAAAAAGTGAGCAGATGATATCCTGTATTATCTCTCAGTATCCATGACCCAAACCGTTGCCACTGCGAGGGGTCGAAACTATCTGACCCAGACAACACCAACCACCGAAGGGCAGGATCTGAAAAGCCTCTGTGGGACAAGCGCTTTCGCAGTGATTTGTACATGTACTGTCCAATATTGATGGAAAACTGTAAATTTTACTTACGCCTCTCTAATATTTCTGTAATTCCAGCATTATCAGCTTCCAGCTCCATTTTAAACTTAGCCAGTTCCTGATCCAGCTTTCTCAAGTGTCGATCTACCTGTTTCAAAGAAGATCAAAGATAACCACCAAAATTTGGGACACTGTTAAAGTGTCAGCTTAATGAGGAAACCTAAATCTTTGTTTCTTTTAGTAAATCGGCTTAGTATTCTTGAGTGCGAGTCAATTATTCTATGCCTCAGAGATTTTTTTATCATAAAATAAGGGTGGTAGGCTAAATGATCTCTCTTCTCCATTCATAAATGATAAATTTTTAGAAACCCAAATTTCAATTTGTTAGAAAATGTTCTATACTTTCTTTTAAGAAGAGTAGGGATATGAAAAGTAAAGCAATGCTGAGATTGGGAATTTGAGGGTGGGAGGAGGGGCCAGGGGGTTGCTAGCTGTTTCCAAATACGCCCTATGACTACATTCAGCCTAATCTCCTACTTATAAGGCCATCCATGCTGCCACAGAATAACAACTGTGATTTAGGATGATGGGAGATCCTTCATCAACAAAGAGTTTACTATACACATACATTTCTCTAAGGCAGGAAAGTGGACCGTTATGCTTATAAATATTTATGTAAAGGACTGAAACAAAAGGCATTTTTAGCCAGAAAATGCAATCCCCAAAGAACCTGGTCAAAATGATTTTTTTACTTGCAATCTTTCTAGTTAAGGTGGCAAAATTTTATCTCCTCATTAACTTAGTTATCTTTTGACTAATTTCAGAAATTTTATGACACCTCAAACTAGCAAAAATGTCTTAATGTACTTTTTTACTTAATATTAAATATTTTCAATATTTTTCTAAACTTACTACTTTGAAGTGAAATAAAAAATCTGAAAAATATTCATGTACAATTTTGACTTCTCTTTTTAAAGTCTAGTGTACAACTGGGTTATTGTTAAGTAGGAATAGTTTCCTTACAAACATCAGAATAATACAGCAGTAAGAGCACAAATTTAAGTAAGACTTTCAATGAAATGATGCATATCTAACATGAGTGAGAAAGGAACAAAAGCAGTAAAAGACAAGGTCCACATGTTAGATGTCTAAATAGAGGCCAGGAAATGTGTTTGGTGCAATAGACGTCCATCATTTTCACCCTCACTTGAATCTTTTGAGATAGGTTGCTACTGTCTCCGTTGTATAAGTTAACATGCCCAAAGTCTTACAGTTAAAAGACTACAGAAATATGAGCTACCATTGATCTATTTCTAATAAGTTAGGCTTTGCCATTTATACCTATCACTCACTGCTCGCTAAACCACTGCATGGGGGAACCAACTACTTTTTAACTCAGGATAATATTAATTCAAGTTGAAAAACTAGGAATATTGTCCTATTATTTGCATTTTATCTTCTAACAGCAGCCATAGGAGTGCTGGTTTGTAATCTGTCAAAAATTTTAAGCCTAGTCTTCCCTCCATCTTCACACATGTTACTTTTCAGAACTTCACAGAAGTTGTAAATTAAATATTAAAAACCTCATAGGGTCATGTACTATGGATACTTGCTCCTATTCAAAGAACCTGCAGGCAACTGAGCATCCTTTATTGGAAGCTTCCTTCTGATGATAAAGTGTGAACACAGACCTTGGTTATTCAAGAATAACTCCTTCATTGTCAAAATTTAATCTCAAGGGAAATCAGAAAAAAAGGCTCAAAAGTTTCAAGACCACTTAATGCAATGAAACCACTCCATCACATGCCTTACCTACATTATAATACTAATAATAAATATTGTACTCCTATCATGTGTTTGCAGGTGGCTTAACTGGAAGAAAAACAAAAATGTGAGAGAATCCCTGCCTTCACAGGAATTAGAATTTAGCTGACAATTCAAGACCTATATAAACTTTTCAACATTTATTAAAGTTTTTATGGAATATTTTTCACATTTTAAATGTTTAAAACAGATATAGGCTTAATGCAACAAATAGGCAACAGTTCAAAACACATGGGAAATAGCATGTAAAGGAAAAATATACCGTAATACTATGATAGACACAAAGGAGATAGAATAAGCTAGGTGGTAAAGAATGGATTGTATTCAAATAGTTGGAAAGAAAGAGCACCAATAATCAATTTTAAAAAGTACAGTGATAGCAAGTCAAACAGCATATTCAGGAAAAAAAAATAGTGTGGCCTCTAGGATACACTAGTATCACACAGAGAGGAGGGAAGTAGAGGCAGTAGAGTGAGATGACCTTTTTCCCCACACCATACACATTGTCCTAACTCGCTCTACCCCTGCCTGTAAAAATTGCATCATTTTATTAAATATATTACTCATGAAGTTTATTACAAAAGAAAGTGTGGGAAATAATGATGACATGTTTAATCCAGGTGGCTCAGAAAATGCAATAGAACTCTATGAATTAGTAACTCTGAAAACAAATTCATAAACAAAACAGAAAAGCCTTAACGAATCTATGGTAGTGAGCTTTGTAAGATAAGCTTCCAATCACTCTCACTTCCTGATATGTAGAAAAGATTATGCATAAATTAATACTATAAACAATTATCCAACATTAAGGATATCTTCCTTAGATTTACCTTAGCTGCTGTACTAAATCACTAAATCAAATTAGAGGTCAGAAAGTAAGTTGACTGATAGATTTAACTTAAGCTATTAAGTACCAACATACTCAAACAGTATTAAACAGCCATAATAAGAGCTGAATTTCACTGAAACCTATTCTGTGCATTCCCTCTACCTGCATGAGCATGGGCAGGTAAAGCACCTATTCTAGCTGATCACCATTTTGGGTCTTGGGAACACCTGACCCTATAAAACTGATCTACAGTAGTAAAAGGAGTCCTGATCCATTTGAAAGAGATTTTTACGTTAGCCACAGTTTTCCATCACAGGGCAAAGAGTCTAATTACTGATTTGTCCCTCATTTAATTTCAAAAAGCGCTATTCACAAAAAATTCCTTGTCCTATTAATACCAAATCATGGGGCCGGTGCTGTGGCGTAGCAGGTAAAGCCTCCACCTGAAGTGCCGACATTCCATATGGACGCCGGTTTGAGTCCTGGATGCTCCACTTCCCATCCGGCTCTCTGCTATGGCCTGGGAAAGCATTAGAAGATAGCCCAAGTCCTTGGGCCCCTGCACCCACGTGGGAGACCCAAAAGATGCTCCTGGCTCCTGGCTTCGGATCTGAGCAGCTCCAGCCATCACAGCCAATTGGGGAGTGAACCAGTGGATAGAAGACCTCTCTCTCTCTCTCTGCCTCTCCTTCTCTCTGTAACTCCAATTTTCAAATAAATACCTAAATCTTTAAAAAAAAATACCAAATCATATTCTATAACCACAAATCATAACTGCTTTAGGTATAAACCACAACTGACCACTTTAGAGACAAACTTATTTAACATATTCATACACTATAAAGTTATTTCAGTCACATTTAGCCCCTCTGCACAAAACAAATAACAAAAAAGCTCCTCTTCCTTTAACATTTTTGCATACAGCTGTGTAACACTTTATTCTTTCTTTTTTACTCAGGTTCCCAATATTCAAATTTTAAAATGCACCCAATAGACCCAAATAAAACTAAACATAGTTCTTAAAAAGTTTCTATGTGATCTACTATTTCCAGTGCAAATTCTTCCAATGTCCAGCTTGCCCTTTCAGAATTACAATCAATCTATTAGTTGTAAGTTGAAATCCATGACAATAAGAGATAAATTTCCATCAATGAAAAAAAATTTGGTTCCAGTGAATAAAGAGGGCATATTCGGAAAAAAAAAGGAACCAAGATGACAAAGTATTTTTATGATGATAAGTCACAGAAATGATTCTTTACATCTCTAAAATTACATTTAAACTAGATGAAAATTTGACCTGTCCTTATGATGTTTCAAATATTTGAGGGGTTTAGCACATAACCTACATCTAATCACTTTTGTAAAAGGCAATAAGGACAGGAGACAAATTCAAAGGTCAAACCCACATTATATACAAATATATACTAATTAGAGTATTAGCTAAAGAATTCCCAATTTATGGTAAAATATGGGTGAGATATAATCATCTCAGGAAGAGGTCAGCACATTAAAAAAACAGCAAGTTCAAGGGCACTGAGCACTGCAGGAGGCTGCTAAAATCATTTAAGCATTAACTAAAAGCTCAAATTTTATCAGAGTATATATAATTCAACTGTATTAGGTACTGCAACCTGACAGTCCTTATGACAGTGACATCTGGATGAGGGAATACACATTAGTGTTCAAACACTGAGTATCAGGAATCGAGAAGGAAATTATTTTAACATGACAGTTTTTTGTTGTTCTTAGTCAAATTTCACTAAAACAACTATTGAAATAAACTGTGAGTTCATTAACTGGACCCCTCAACCCACAAATTTCCCAATTAGTTAATGTTAACCAGTATGGTATCTTTCCTGGATAAATGAAGTAATCAGGACAATGTTGATTATAGGAATAAATCAAATTTAAAAGTGAATAAAATTTTAAATAAAAAATGCAATGACATACCATGTTAGGAAGCACATTGAGGGATGAACTCAAACTCAATTACATGCATTTTGAGCATCCCTTATTTGAAATGTGTAGGACCAAAAATGCTTCAGCTCTAAAATTTTTTCAGATTTTGGAATATTTGCATAGACATAGACTTTGGGATGGGATCTAAGTCTAAACATGAAATTCATCTTATTCATATAGTCTGAAGGTCATTTTACACATTATTTTTAGTACACGTGTGTTTAGACTACAACCTACCACATGAAGCCAGGTGAAGATTTTTCCACTTGTGAAAATCATGTCAGCCTCCCAAATGTTTCAGATTTTGGGGCATTCTGGATTTCAGATTAGAGATGCCCAGCTGGTAAAGTATATGCAAATATTTTAAAATCCAAAAAACTCCTAAGTCAGAAACACTTCTGATCCCACGTACTTTAGATAACAGATATATACTCTGTATTTATAGACTTTTACTTTGATATTTACACGTTGATATTTCAGGGAAAATAACAATGTGATAGGGCAACTCCATTTAGCTAATAAAGCAAGATTTCTCA